GACACTTTAGCCTTGATCACCAGAACGAATTTCCAGCACCAAGAGAGTACCGAAACTGAGGGTGTTCACGTGTCTGGCCCTGGGAGGCGATACTCGTTCGACACTGGTTCGATGCTTTTCTGGGTGCTCGAAATCATTTCTGGGATGTGATCCGTAAGTCCGATGGGAACAGCATACAGTCGGGGCCCTGAAAAAGGAACCCTTTCCGTTGGGGAGGGGCTCGGTGTTCCTCGATTGCTTCACAGCTTGCCTCGGCTTCTCCCGAGGTCTTAGATGGGAAAATCGAGGCTGGACTTCTGGGAAAAAAGGGGCCTCGCTCCTTATTCAGGGTTCCTTAGGTCAACGCCTCGACTGTAAGCCTGGGGCGGGGGTCGCCACCTCCCCCGTTGGAGATCTTTTTTGTTATGGGCGCGGACGCTGCGGCCAAACCGTGGGCGCCGCTGGGGGGGGGCCTGGCGCCCACCCCCCTCCCTCCCCGGCTCCCCGCCTCCGCCCTCCCCACAGCACCCCTCCCTCCTCCCTCCCTCTCTCCCTCTCCCTCTCCCTCCCCTCCCCTCCCTCCCTCCCTCCTCCCTCCTCCCTCCTCCCTCCTCCCTCCCCTCTCTCCTCCCTCCCCATCCCTCCTCCCTCCTCCCTCCCTCTCCCTCTCCCTCTCCCTCTCCCTCTCCCTCTCCCTCCCCTCCCTTCCTCCTCCCTCGCCTCTTCGCCTACGTGGCATCCTCGGGGGGCCCCGCCTGTCCCCACAGAGCCACACGTCGGTCACTGGAAGGGTTGGATGTTTGAGGTGCCCACATCCCAGTCTGCTTTAGGCGCCGTCCTGCTTCCAGAGTCGAGCGGCTCTCCCTCCTCCCTCCTCTCCAGGTGGCGGTGGAAGGCTAATCTGCTTTCACCGTCTCCCTACTTCGTGGCCCTACCACGTCTTCCGACCCACGGGCAATGCCCCTGATTGTGCCCGGGGCGGACCCGGCGTGGAACCGACGAAGATTCGGCACGGATTCGACGCGGATAGGGCCGCGACGAGACGGACACGGCTCTTCGAGGACGCAGCCCGCTGTTGCAGACTCCCCCCCGCGCCCAGTGAGCACTACCTGCAGGTGGTCAGCATGCCCGACGGCTTCCGGGGCTCCCAGCCTCGGGGCACGGTCGGATCCGCGGGCTCCTTAGCGGGAGGGAGATGAGGAGGAGAAGTACGCATGGCGAGGTGGAGGAGGAGGAGGAGGAGGAGGAGGGGGAGGAGGAGGGGGAGGAGGAGTGAAAGAACGATTGATCGAATGAATGAATGAATGAACCCCCTCGCGATATGAGTCCGAAAAGAACACGAACTACGAGGTCCTGTGTGGGTGCGAACCCTGGTCTCTGGGCCATTGCCCATCACTGAACCTGTCGAGATATCTTCGAAGGGTGACATTGAGAGATTCCGAACATTGTTCGGCCAGCGGCCCTCGAAACTGTTTGTTGCCAACAAATCCCGCACGAACTGCAGATTCAAGCCATCACTATTCAATCCACCAACGACTAGAAAGGATGTGCAGGAGAAGGAGGAGGACATGGAGGGCGGAGAAGGAGGAGCAGAAGAGAGGAAGGACACCGATAATGCCGACCAGGAGGGAGGAGGTGGAGGAGGAAGGATACGAAGGAGGAGGTAGAGGAAGGATTATCATGCTGACGAGGGGGTATTTGTTTCGGGGTGGGTCCTGGTGTTTTTCTGTTCGTGGGATTCGGGAGAGGAAGACGAGGAGGAGAGGAGGAGGAGGACGAGGAGGAGGAGGAGGAGGACGAGAGAGAGCAGGAGGAGGAGGAGGAGGAGGAGGAGGAGGAGGAGGAGGAGGAGGAGGAGGAGGAGGAGGAGGAGGGGGATGAGGCGGCTGACAAAGGCAGAGGATCATGACGAGGAGAGGAGGGAGGAACACGACGGAGGCGGGAGCACAAGGAAGGGGATGGCATGGGAGGAGCACAAGGAGGCCTTGGGACCCGCGCGTAGCGTCGGCGCCGGGAGGCGGAGGTGGAGCAGCGGGAGGACGAGCAGCAGCCTCGGAGGTGGAGCTTCTGCGCAGCCATCGGCCATCGACCACGGAGGGGTGCAAAGAGGAAGGGGGGAGGATGAGGAATAGGAGGAGGTGGAGGAGGAGGAGGACGAGGTGGAGGAGGTGGAGGAGGAGGAGGACGAGGAGGAGAAGGAGAGGAAGGAGGAGGAGGAGGAGGAGGAGGAGCAGGAGAAGAGGCGGAGGCGGAGGTTGAGGATGATGATGATGATGATGATGATGATGATGATGATGATGATGATGATGATGATGATGCTGATGATGATGATGATGATGATGATGATGATGATGATGATGAGGATGACGATGAGGATGAGGATGAGGATGAGGATGATGATGATGATGATGATGATGATGATAATGATGATGATGCTGATGATGCTGATGCTGCTGCTGCTGCTGATGATGATGATGCTGAATATGATGATGATGCTGCTGATGGTGATGCTGCTGATTAT